ATTATATATTATATATATATATATATATATAATAATATATATATATGGACACTCTATCTACGAACTGGAAACCTAGAAGAAATGGACATACCTAGAAAAATACAACCTTTCAAAACTCAATCAGGAAGAATTAAAAAAAATTGAATGGGCCAATAACTATGGAGGAAATTAAAGCAATTATCAAAAAAAAATGTCCAACAAACAAAGCCCTGGGCCAGATGGCTTCACGGGGGAGTTTTACAAAACATTCAAAGAAGAATAAAAACCTATCCTCCTGAGACTATTCCAAAAAATTCAAGAGGAAGGAACACTTCCAAGCTCTTTCTATGAAGCCAGCATTACCCTAATCCCAAAACCAGATAAAGACACTAAAAAGAAGGAGTATTACAGGCCAATATCCCTGATGAACATAGATGCTAAAATCCTCAACAAAATTCCAGCATTACATTAGAAAGATCATACACTATGACCAAGTGGTATTTATTCTGGAGATGCAAAGATGGTACAATATCTGCAAATCAATAAATGTAATACATTACATAAATAAATTGAGAGGTAAAAATCACAGTCATATCAATTGATGCAGAAAAAGCATTTAATAAAATCCAACATCCTTTCTTGATAAAAACCCTCAGCAAAGTGGGAATAGAGGGATCATACCTCAACATAATAAAAGGCATATATGACAAACCCACAGCCAACATCATACTCAGTGGGGAAAAACTAAAACCATTCCCCCTAAGAACAGGAACAAGACAGGGATGCCCACTCTCACCACTCCTGTTTCACCTAGTACTGAAAGTGTTAGCCATAGCAATCAGACGAGAAGAAGAAATAAAAGGCATCAAAATTGGAAAGGAAGAAGTAAAACTGTCATTATTAGCAGATGACATGATATTGTCCATCATCAATAAACTATTTGACTTAAAGACTCCATCAAAAAAAACTATTAAAATTCATAAATGAATTCAGCAATGTAGCAGGATACAAAATTAACACCCAGAAATCTATGGGTTTTTTTTATATACCAATAGTGAACCTACAGAAAGAGACATTTAAAAAAAACAATCCCATTTACAACCATTGCAACAACAAAAAATATGATACTTAGGAATAAATTATCTAAGTAGGTAAAAGACCTGAACTCAGAAAACTATAGGATGTTGAAAAAAGAGATAGAGGAAGATATAAACAAATGGAAGAATATACCATGTTCATGGATTGGTAGAATCAACATCATTAAAATGTCCATACTACCCAAAACAATCTATAGATTTAATGGAATCCCCATTAAGATACCAAAGGAATATTTCACAGACCTAGAACAAACTCTCCAAAATTCATATGGAAGAAAAACTAGCCACAGCAATCCTGAGAAAGAAGAACAAAGTAGGCGGGATCGCAATACCGGATATCAAGCTATATTACAAAGCCACTGTCCTCAAAACTGGCACAAGAACAGATATATAGACCAATGGAACAGAACAGAGAACCCAGAAATCGACCCAAGCCATGATGTTCAATTAATATTTTTCAAAGGAAGCAAGAGCATACAATGGAGTCAAGACAGTCTCTTCAATAAATGGTGTTGGGAAAATTGGACAGATACATGAAAAAAATAAATGAATCTAGACCTCCAAGTTATACCATACACAAAAATAAACTCAAAATGGATAAAGGACTTAAACATAAGAATGGAAACCATAAAAATCTTAGAGGAATCCACAGGCAGCAAAATATAAGATATATGTCATAGCAATATCTTTACTGACACAGCTCCTAAGATTATGGAAACTAAGAAAAGAATATATAAATGGGATTACATCAAAATAAAATGCTTCTGCACGCCGAAACCGGTTTGGCTCAGTGGATAGAGCGTCGGCCTGCGGACTGAAGGGTCCCAGGTTCGATTCCGGTCAAGGGCATGTACGTTGGTTGCGGGCACACCCTCAGTAGGGGATGTGCAAGAGGCAGCTGGTCGATGTTTCTCTCTCATCGATGTTTCTAACTCTCTATCCCTCTCTCTTCCTCTCTGTAAAAAATCAATAAAATATATTTTTAAAAAAATGCTTCTGCACAGCAAAAGAAACCATTGACAAAACTACAGGAAAGCCCACTGCATGGGTGAACATGTTTGCCAATGCTATCTCCAATAGGGGTTTAATCTCCAAAATTTATAGGGCACTCCTACAACCTAACAAAAGAAGATAAACAATCCACCCCAAAAATGGACAAAGGACCTAAATGGACACTTTTCGAAAGAGGACATACAGAAGGCCAAGAGACATATGAAAACATGCTCAAAGTCACTAATCATCTGAGAGATGCAAATCAAAATGACAATGAGATATCACCTCACACCTGTCAGAATAACTATCATCAACAAACAATAAGTGCTGGTGAGGATGCAGAGAAAAAGGAACCCTCTTGCACTGCTGGTGGGAATGCAGACTGGTGCAGCCACTGTGGAAAACAGTATGGAGTTCCCTCAAAAAAATTAAAAATGGGAACTCCCATTTGACCCAGTAATCCCACTTCTAGGAACATATCCCAAGAAATCAGAAACACCAATCAGAAAGGATATATGCACCCCTATGTTCATAGCAGCACAATTTACCATAGCTAATATTTGGAAACAGCCTAAGTGCCCATCAATAAGTGGATTATAAAACTGTGGTACATCTACACAATGGAATACTACCCTGCCATAAAAAAGAAGGAACTCTTACCATTCCCAACAGAATGTATAGAACTGGAGAGCATTATGCTAAGAGAAATAAGCCAGTTGGAGAAAGATAAATATCACATGATGTCACTCATTTGTGGAATATAATGAACAACATAAACTGATGAACAAAAATAGATCCAGAAACAGAGAAGTATCGAACAGACCGTCAAACCTCAGAGGGAAGGCAGGGGAGTGTGTGTGTGTGTGTGTGTGTGTGTGTAGAGGGGGGGTGGGGCGGGGGGGTGGGTAAGAGCTCAACCCAAGGACTTGTATGCATGCATATAAGCCTAACCAATAGACATAGACACTAGGGAGGTGAGGGCATGTGTTGGGGGGTGGGAGTGGCAGGGTAGAGGTCAATGGGGGAAAAAGGAGACATATGTAATACTTTAATCAATCAAGAATATTAAAAAAAAAAATCGCCGAAACCGGTTTGGCTCAGTGGATAGAGCGTTGAACTGCGGACTGAGGGGTCCCGGTTTCGATTCCGGTCAAGGGCATATACGTGGGTTGCGGGCACATCCCCAGTGGGGGATGTGCAGGAGGCAGCTGATCTATGTTTCTCTCTCATCGATGTTTCTAACTCTCTGTCTCTCTCCCTTCCTCTCTGTGAAAAATCAATAAAATATATTTTAAAAAAAAGAATATTAAAAAAATCAAAGTTGATTACAAGAAAAATTCATCATGGACAAAACAGTAAATGTTAGATTGGGATGGGTCATTGTTTGTTTTATAAAGCCTGTGCCATTTGAACAATTCTTCCAATCCATCCACAGTTCTCTTAATGGGCATGGGGAGCCATGTCAGTAACCCACCACTGTGAACAACCTAACATCCTCTACAGTGGCCTTTTTCAGCTCAACTATTGAGGCTCAGAGTAACAGGTATTTCTGCATTGTTTTCTTCACACCAAAGGCCCACTGCCCTGGCTGACTTACTCCTGGCTAGAATTTACTTTTTCTTCCAAAATTATATCTTTTGTGGTTCTGTCACCTAATTCTCCTGGGGCCTAAGAGATTTAAGAATATATGGTATCAACTTTCCTATTCTTGCCTCCATTTGGCAGGCTTTGAACTGAGGTTACCACGAAATTCAAATGAATATAGAAAGACAGTGAAAGAAGTTTGGGACATTTTAGAACAGAAATTTGACACTCTTACAGCTGGGGTTCCCAGAACCCAGATGGTGCAAGTTCCTTGATGGAAACATCAGCAACTGCAGTGACCTGCTGTGGTTAGGCATGCTCTTGGAGGAGATTTTGAGAAAGTAGTGGGATCAAGAGGATACATTTTTCACTTGGTAGGGTCAACAACTGGGGAGAGGTTGTTTTGGGGGGGAGGGGTTGTTTCTCTTTCGTTTTGTTTCCTATGTGGCTGCAATGATCTCTAGAAGAAAGGCATTTATGTATACTTATATATACTTGTTCATCTTGCTTGTTAATACCTTGTATTTTATAACTCATAGTGCTTTCTCATCGCATTTTATTACCAGGGCAGGACTGCAATGAAGGTAGGCAGATGTTTATGTTTCTGTTTATGGATGAGGAAAATGAATAGTATTTCAATGAAGCTAGTAATCCTCACATTTAGAGGAAACTATCAAGTTGGACTAAACTAGCTGAAGCCCTCACTCTTCAGGAAGCCCCTTTGAACAGAGCCAGTCTTGAAATCCACACAACCAGTGACTAGCCCTGCTTTGTTCTAGTAAAAACCTATGTTTCATGTAAGTCTAAACTAACCTCCACCACCTCAAATTCTATATACCGTTCTGAGAAGCTTCATTTCTACTTGAGGGTTCTTTTATGTGCAAATAAGAATCTATAATAATAAAAGCATAATATGAAAATCAACCAAACAGCTGAACAGTGGAACGACTGTCCAGATGACCTTCTGGGTGAAGCCGGGGCTGCGAGGGCTGAGGCAGCTGGGGCTGCGAGGGTCTACTCTTGCACAAATTTTGTGCATCAGGTCTCTAGTTGCACAGGGTTTTTCGTTTGTTTTAAAGAATCAAGAAAATTTTATTTCCTTTAACAATAATATACACTAGACAAGATTTCACTTATTAACAAATTACATCTACATTTTTGTTCTACAGAATTGGTAGAGTTCAGAACTAAGAAGAAAATATGGTCATTACCTCCTCCAATTAAATCTCTACACTGTTTATCAAACATCCGACATTGCCCTTTATAACAGAAGGATTCATTTCCATTACAATATTCCCCATCACGTTTAAAAGTGTCAGGCACACAATGTGGGTCAATCCCATTGCAATACTCAAGAAAATCACAATCTTCATCATATCGTTTCCTACAAATTTCACCACCTGGTTTTAGCTAGAAGGAAAAAGAAACATAAGAAAAGATTACGTATCGGTGATACTCAAGTTTTCTTTCTAGTCAGACTTTGAATTTCCATTTTTTTCTAAGTTGCTAACTAAGATCAATGAGGAAATTTTTCTTGTCAACTACTTAAGCACTGCATAGCAACTTAGGTGATTGAATTTATCATGCACAAATGAGTGGGTAATATTTCAGAGAGATGTGATAAACTCAAAGATAATCAGGCTACCATTTTTGTAAACAACAAAGTAAATCTAAGGAATTAATATAAAAATTACTTTCGATTCATTATGGCTATGCTCAGATATGTAGCCTTTGGTTTCTCTATATGCCAGGTATCAGCAACCATTTACAAAACAAAACATACAGACCATAAACATGTAGAACAAAGTTTGTAGATTTAAAAAAAAAAAGAAAATGTAAGTATACATAGGAATTTTATTTCAAAACCACATTGCAAACAACTGTTTTAAAAAATAACTTCTTCAATTACATATCTCTGATCTCTTCAGTGCTTAGATTATTTTTTCAATAATGTTTTGTTAAGTGTATGTTTTACATTTCATGTATTGTTTTCCTAAGTATTTTATGCTATTGTGAATAGCATTGGTTTTCTAACTTCATTTTCAGATTGTTCATAGCTATTGAAGCTATTGTATACAATTGGTTTTTGTTTAGTAATTGTGTAACCTGTGACTTTGATAAACTCATTTATTTGTTTCAAAAGTAACTTTAAAAAAATCAGTGAAACAAAATGGCAAACCTTTAAGTAAGCTAACTTAAAAAAAAAGGACTCAATTAAAGAGTTGACACACTAAAACTGATAACATAGAAATACGAAGGAATGTAGAAAGCTACTGTGAATAATTATATGTTAAAATTGTGTAAACTACAAGAAACAGATGCCTAGAAACAGACAACCTACCAAGAATGAATCATGAAGAAACAGAAAGCTTGAAGAAAATAATCACAACTAAAGAGATTGAATTTGTTATCACACCTCTTAACAAAGAAAAGCCCAGGACCAGTTGGTTTCAGAGGCGAAGTTTATGGAATATTTAAAGAATAATGCTAATACTTCTCAAATTCTTTCAGTACTTTTTTAAAAAGCCCAAACTCATTTTACAAGGCCAGCATTACCAAGATATCAAAGACAGATAAGGACACAACAAGAAATGAAAACTATAGGCTAATATCCTAATGAATATAAATATAAAAGTTTTCAACAAAACACTAACACACCAAGTTCAACCACACATTAAAGGCTCCTAAACCATGATCAAGTGGGACTTATCCCTAGGATGCATGGACAATGCAACACATGGAAATTAGGAAACATGATGAAAGGAGTTTTTAGGGGTAAAATAGGCAGGTTTAGGGAAGTCTAGAAATAAAGGGGGCTCATGGGGGAGGGCTGCAAAGCTGGGGGACTGGGAGCTGCCAAAAGGCATACCTTCACAGAATAAGGGGAGAGGAAGACACTCATTCACAGAAGATAAGGGGAAAGCCACAGGGAGTAGAAAAACAAAAGGGAGAAAGAGGAAAACAGATTTTCATAGGGAATAGAGAATTCTATCACAAGAGGGGGAGAAAAAAGAGGGACCCCACATGATGTTTGAGTCTTGAAGCTGCTATAGTGACCAATCAGATGGGATATCAGGACACACAGAACTGCAACCTTTATAAACCTTAGAAAGAGGGTCTCTCCCCCTCCCCACCTGGGAGTCTGTGTTTATTTCCCAATAAATTTCCACCTTTTCCTATACCACCTTTTGTCTGTGGCTTCATTCTTCAAATCTACCTGGACAAGAACCCGGGAAGGAAGCCTCCTTTGCATCCTACTCAGAGGAAAACGACATGTTTCAGTTTTTTGCGAATTTCAATGATACATCCCATTAATAGAATTAAGGGTAATAATTATATTATCCTCTGGAGAGATGCAAAAACAAACAAACACTTGACAAAATTCAACACCCTTTTATGATAAAAGCTCTCAACAATTTGGGTATAGAAAAAAAACATTTCTCAGCATAATAAAGACCACATATGACAAGCCTTGGCTTGTTAGGTCGGAGAGAGCCCAGGATCGGATACATGCAGGCATGTGATGAGACAATGTACTTCCCCTGGAATTTCTAACAGATCAGCATGCCAGACACAGATACTGGCTTCTCCAGGACCCCCACACAGATACTGACTCCTTCCTGAATACCTTGCTGACCCCCTGCAGCTGAAACTTCCTCAGCTGAATATCTCAGCTCATGTCCCAGCCCCTCACCCAACCGCAGTATAAAAAAAGCGCACCCCTCCCTGTTGGCGTGAATCCACGTGCCCTGTCCTTGGGGGTACGTGGACGCAAAATAAACTTTCCTTCCTTCCTTCCTTTTCTGATCAACTCTCTTTATTTCCTTCGCTGCCTCCTGAGCCACCTAACCTAACATGGCTCACATCATATTCAATAGGGAAAAGGTTAAAGGGTGTCCTTTTAAGATCATGAACAAGACAAAGGCATCCTCTTTCTCCATTCCTATTCCACAAAGTACTGGGAGCTCTAGCTAGAGCACTAAAGGGAGGGGGGAGTAAATAAAAGGAACCCAGATCATACAGGAAGAAGAAAATTGTGTCTGTTTGCAGATAACATGATCTTATACACAGAAAAACCTAAAGAAGCCATCAAACAACAGAACTGAGAAATAAAGTCAGTAAAGCCATAGGTTATGGAATCAGAGTACAAAAATATTTTATTTCTATACATTTACAACAAAATGTATGTAGAAGAAATTTTGTAAAGCCCATTTACAATAGTACCAAAAAGAACAAAATACTTAGTAATAAATTTAACAAAGGAGGTAAAAGTCTTGTCCACAGAAAACATTGATGAAAAAATTTGAAAGAGACACAAGTAAATGAAAAGATATTCTGTGTTCACGGATAAGAAGAACTAATATTGTTGCAATATGCATACGATAAAAGAAACCCCAAAAATTTTAAAATAAAAGGAATCCAATTTAGGACTATGCATCTGAAGAATATAAAATTAGTATCTTGAAGAGATATATGTACCTTCGTGTTCATTGCAGCATTATACACAACAGACATGGAAATAACTTAAGTGTTCATCAATGGATGAATGTATATTTTAAATATAGTGCATATACACAATGGAATAATATTCAACCATAGAAAAAGAAAACTCTGCCAGATTAAACTTGGGGGTATCATTCTAAATGATATAAGTCAAACAAGAAATATATATATATATTCACCAAAACAGAAAATAGAATAGCAGTTGCCAGATGCTACAAGGTGGGGGAAATGGGAAGATATTGGTCAAGAGGTCAAATTTTCAACTATAAAATGACTAAGTCTGGGGATTTCATGGACAGCATGGTGACTATAATTAACAATAACGTATTATATATTTGAAAGTTGCTGAAATAGTAACTCTTAAATATTCTCACTATATGAAGTGATAGATGTGTCAACTAATCTTACATGGTAAATATTTTGCAATATATAGTTCTACCAAATAATTATGCTGTAAACCTTAAATTTATACTATGTATGTGTCATTTATATCTCAATAAAGCTGGGGAAAATTATTTTTAAAAGATAAAAATAATCTTTTAAATACTCTTTCTCTAATCTTACAGATGTTTACACCTTGTTTAGGAGTTTGTTTCCTTTTTCCTTAAGATTCCAGTGAATTGTGCCACCATGGGGCAACTGCTCAGGAATTCTTTAAAGGCTTTCAATAAAAAAGAGGGATTGAATGATTGCAACAATAACTGAATGAATTGCAAAGGAACAGAGGACTTTACCAGAAACAGTGAAGAGAATTTAGCTAACAAAAGGAACTAATCGAACTTTCTGACCCCATAGGTGGGGGTGATGTATGTTTATCGTTGAGAAATCTCTATGGGTACAAGAAAGATTTGTAATGAGGTATAAAAATGGGAAGTCAAGTTAGTAGAGAAGGAGCATCAGGTATTATGTACATGAGAGTCCTGTAAATGATAGATTGCTGAAAAGACTGACGTGGGAGAGTGGGTCCAATGTTACTTGGATATAATAAAATGAGAAGGGTAAAATATGTTTTCCATCTTCTTTAAACAAGAATTTCAAGAAATTAATGCTGAGCTATTATAAAATACATATTGCCTCTTACCTTGCAGCTTTGTGTGCAGCATTCCCCGGAACCACAGACTATCCTACCTTTGTATCGACATAATGTAGCATCACAGCATTTTTTATGTGTACAATTCTGTAAATAAATGCTATTACTCAATCATGTATAATTAGGTACCATCAAATAAAACTGCAACTCAGAATTTCTTTACAAAGTAGGAGGCTTTTGTTCACTCACAGTTTTAGTAATCCCATTCTTTAATGAAATTTATAGGAATCAACATCTCATTCACTAGTTCATAAAAGAAATGCGTTGTTTCACTACGCTCCATCTAATCTGAACAACATTAACATACTGTGGAGCCAACACCTTAGAGGAAATAATTATTTGATGCCTTGTTAACTACCATTCTCTTCAAAAATTTTCTTATATTCTTGCTTTGATAATAACTTGTACTAGCCACATCTGTTCACATAGAGAACTTCTCTGATGTGAAGCTGTCAGAAGTAACATTCTTCTCTCTGAAATGGCAAAATCCCCAAACCCACCCTAAAAAAAAGGTGGTCCCAGAAGCCAGATTCATCTATTTAGACCTCTGATGTCACTGAGATGCTGGCCCTATAGTTACTTATTCTATATAATAAAGAGGTGATAGGCAAATTAACCCTCACACCCTCACAAGATGGCTGCCTATGACCAGGCCGGTAGGGGGATTAGTGAAGGATGACCAAATGACTGAACAGCAGGCTGCAAGGGATGACCAGGCTGGCAGGGGGGAGGGAGGGGAGACAGGTGGAAGCGACCTGGCCAGCAGTGGGGGGCAGTTAGGGGTGACCAGGCCAGCAGGGGGGGGCAGTTAGGAGCAATCAGTCTGGCACACAGAGGTAGTGAGGGGCAATCAGGCCAGTAGTGGGGGGAAGTTAGGGAAAACCAGGCAGACAGGCAGGTGAGCGATTAGGAGCCAGCAGTACAGGATTGTGAGAGGGATGTCTGACTGCCAGTTTAGGCGCAATCCCCAGGACCGGGCCTAAACCAGCAGTCAGACCTCCCCAAAGTGGTCCTGGATTGGAGAGGGTGCAGGCTGGGCTGAGGGGACTTCCCCACCCCATGCATGGATTTTGTGCACCGGGCCTCTAGTATTTTATAAAATTCAGTGCCTTCAGTCAGCTTTTCTAGTCTTCAGTATCATGTTTGTTTTAAATTATGTAGTCTACCAATATCAGATGTTTCTCTCCTAGTGTTACCTTTTTTGTTATTAGTATTTTTCTTTTTCTTTTTTGTGCTACAGCTTTTTTTCATTTCTTTTTTTTTATTATTTTCTTTATTGATTAGGGCATTATATATGTGTCCTTATTCCCCCTTGGCTCCTCCACCCCCCAGTCATGCCCTCACCCCCCTGTTGTCTGTGTCCATTGGTTAGGCTTATATGCATGCATATAAGTCCTTTGGTTAATCTCTACCCATTAACCCCACCCTCCCCTACCTTCCCTCTGAGGTTTGACTGTCTGATTGATGCTTCTCTGTCTCTGGATCTGTTTTTGTTCATCAGTTTATGTTGTTCATTATATTCCACAAATGAGTGAGATCATGTGATATGTATGTTTCTCTAACTGACTTATTTCACTTAGCATAATGCTCTCCAGTTCCATCCATGCTGTTGCAAATGGTAAGAATTCCTTCTTTTTTTTTTACCACAGCATAGTATTCCATTGTGTAGATGTACCACTGTTTTCTAATCCACTCATCTGCTCGGCACTTAGGCTGTTTCCAGATCTTAGCTATTGTAAATTGTGCTGCTATGAACATAAGGGTGCATATATCCTTTCGGATTGGTGTTTCTGGTTAGTTTCTTGGGATATAGTCCCAGAAGTGGGATCACTGGGTCAAATGGGAGTTTAATTTTTAGTTTTTTGAGGAAACTCCATATGAACAACTTAACCATAGGCTACAGTGCTATATTTTTTTAAAGTTATTTTACATTGACTCATGTATTCCAACTTTAAATATTATTTTGTTAGCTTTTTTAAATACTGTTTCTTTTAATCAAATATGGGCTGTCCTTTGATTTTTTTTAATCCACTTTGTAAGGGCAAACCTTCTTAAGAAAAATAGAATATTCTGGCTATTTTGAAATGGCTCCTTTTAACCTACATTCTTCAAGAAGCATGAGAGGATTCATGTATAATTGGCATTATTTTTTCCTTATATGTTTGATAAAATCAGTAGTGAAGAGACATAGATTTGGAGTTTCTCTGTGAAAAATAGTTTAATTACAAATTTAATTTATTAACTAAATATAAACAATTCAAATTTTATCTTATCAGTTGTGATAATTTGTGTCTTAAGAAACTTGTCAGTTTTATCTAAATTGTCAAATTAATTTATATAAAGTTTTTAATATTCCATAATTTTACATTTATAGGGTGTGTGGTAATATGCCCCCTTCCATTCCTGAGAATAGTAATTAGCTTTTTCTCTCATTTTTCCTTCATGAGTACCTTCATAAGAGGTATACCAAGTCAAGTATATTGCTTTTTTGGAAAGCATCAGCTTTTATTTTCATTCTCTAGTTTCTACCTCATCAATTTCTGCTTTTATCTTTATCATTTGTTCCTTCCATTTATTTTGGTTTTAATATAGAGTTATATTTTAGTTCCCTAGAGTTACATTCCAAATAATTTATTATTCTTTCCCTCTAATATAAATATTTAAAGATATACATTTTTCTCAAAACACTGTTGTAGCTGATTCTCATATATTTTCATGTTTTCATCTGCACACTTTTAAAAATATATTCTAGACCTGGTTGGTTGTTCAGTGGTTAGAGCATGAGTTTGCACACTCTAGGGTCACAGGTTCAATTCCCAGTTAAGGGCACATACCTCGGCTGCAGGTTCCCCAGCTCCTGTCAGAGCACGTGCAGGAGGCAACCAATCAATATCTCTCTCTCACATTGATCTCTCTTTCTCTCCCTTCCTCCTCCATTCCAATATGTCTGAAAAATCAATGGAAAAAAATAACCTCAGGTGAGGATTTAAAAATAATAATAATGAAATAAAAATATATTCTAATTGCCTTTGTGATTTCTTTGAGCCATGGACCATTTAGAAATGATATAATCATTTCCAAATATTGGGGTGCTTTTCAAGATACCTTATTATTCTTGATTTCTAATTTAATTCTCAAAATAAAATAAATGTGATGATACTTACAGCATGGCTCAGAATATATTCTGTCTTGATAAGTATTTCAAGTACACTTGAAAAGAGTGTTTATAATTAGTTGTTAAATATAGTGCCCTATAAATATTAATTATATTTGTTGAGATTCCTTAGCTGCTCACTCATTAAGATAATTTTCTTTAAATTATTTGAGCAAAATTTTCTTTAATTCTCTTAACATATTCATAAAAACTACTGAGAAGGCTTTATGTGTTAAATGCAATATCAAACTTTTCAGAGTCAGTTTTCCTGAACTACCTATTTTCCTGAATATGGTTCATACTCCTTGTTTCTCTGAATGTCTAGTAATTTTTGTTAATCAGTTGGACATTACAGGAAAAGATGATATAATGACTATTCAGCTGTGTGCTTCTGCAGGTTGTTTTTGTTTTCTTAGTAGGAAGTTGGCCTGGGCATAAACTATAAACTTTATTTCCCTGCAATGTGCAGCAGCTATCTCTGCTCAGTTCATATGGCTTCCAACTGATCAATTTTAGCATGATTCCCTGGTATAATGTGGCATTCAGCCAAGGATTTAGGCAGACTTTGCACTTAGATTTCATTGTATAATATATCTGCAGTTTCCTTGTTTCTGAAGATGCCTCTTTAATTTCCAGTTGCAGTTCCAGTCTCAGGCTCTATATTATGATTTCTGAAAGAAGTTTTCAGATTTCTGCTGCCTGAATTCCACATAGTTGGATAATATTCTCTTTAAAAAACCATCAAACTCACAGAGCTCACCTGATGAACCCTGTGTCTTTCAAATGTCTCATCCTTCCTTTTTGCCCCCGGGAGTATTTCTGGCCCATGCATATTTTAGCAGTCTGTCAAGTATTTGTACAGTTGTTAATCAGATTTTGGGTCTTACCACTTTCACAATTCTCTTACTTTAAGGGTTCTACCCTTGAATTTCCAGTGGCTCCCATCCCTAAACTCTGTTCTCTGCCACATTGCTCAGCCATTTAATGCTGCCATCACTGTGGAGGTGCAGGAGCACCATTAGGCTAGAAAGACTTAAACTTATAATTCTTACTAGAGGCCCGGTGCACAAAAATTTGTGCACTGGGGGGGGGGGGGAACCCCTCAGCCCGGCCTGTGCCCTCTCGCAGTCTGGGACTGCTCGGGAGATAATGACCTGCTGGCTTAGGCCTGCTCCCGGGTGGCAGAGGGCAGGCTCAATCCCTAGGTGCAGCCCCTGGTCAGGATCACAGCAGGGCCAATTGGGGAGGTGGGGCACGCCCCTGTCATGCACAGAGCAGGGCAGATCGGGAGGTTGCGATGCCACCCCTAGTCACGCTCAGGGTAGGGCCGATAGAGAGTTGGGGCACCGCCCCCTGTCACACTCAAGGCAGGGTCGATGGGGAGGTTGCGGCGCCACCCCCTGTCACGCACAGAGCAGGGCCGATCAGGGAGTTGGGGCGCTGCCCCCTGTCACTCACAGAGCAGGGTTGATCAGGGGGTTGGGGAGCTCCCCCCTGCCACGCACAGAGCAGGGCCGATCAGGGGGTTGAGGAGCTCCCCCCTATCAGGCACAGAGCAGGGCTGATCAGGGGTTTGGGGCGCCTTCCCGTCACAAACAGAGCAGGTCGGATAGGGAGGTTGTGGCCCCGCCCCCTATCACACACAGAGCCGCAGGGCGATCAAGGGGTTTAGGCGCTGCCCCCTGTCACACTGATCTCTGTTCCGGGAGGCCTCACAGCTCCGCTGATCCTGGTGCTGGGAGGCATATTACCCTTTTACTATATAGGATAGAGGTCTGGTGCACAGGTGGGGGCCGGCTGGTTTGCCCTGAAGGGTGTCCTGGATCAGGGTGGGGGTCCCACTTGGGTGCCTGGCCAGCCTGGGTGAGGGGCTGAGGGCTGTTTTCAGGCTGGCGGGTGACTGAAGCTCCCAACCGCTCCTTTTTTTCTTTTTTTTTTTTTTATTTTGGGCCAGCTTTAGCTCTGAGGCTTGGCTCCAGCTCTGAGGCCTCGGCTGCTGAAAGCAGGTATCTGGTTTGTTTGGGTTCTATAATCGAAACACTGTTTCAACTCCAGCTCTGAGGCCCGGCTGGTTGAAAGCAGGTTTCTGGGGTTTTGTTTAGCTTCTATATTTGTAACAATGTTTCAAACTGCAAGCTCAGATGCCGGCAGCAGCAGGCGGGGAACGTTGGCTTCCTCTGTCACTGGAGCAAGCAAGCCTCCTGTTCGATTCAGTGCCTGGCTGCCGGCCACCATCTTGGCTGGCAGTTAATTTGCATATCGCCCTGATTAGCCAATGGGAAGGGTAGTGGAGGTACGGCTAATTACCATGTTTCTCTTTTATTAGATAGGATATCTTAGAGCTGCAGGTTTTTTTTTCAAGAATAAACTCTTTTCTGGCTTCTTTCTTCTTTAAGATATATTTCAGTGCCATTAAGTAATATACATGTAATATATACGTATTTATAGATAATATGTTATATGTTGTTTTATATTATCTATACTAATAATAGAGGAATATGCAAATTGTCCGGGACACTGTCACATAACAACCAATCAGCATGCTACATGCACAGCATGCCCCAGTAAGGCTGCTAAGGCTTTCATCTGTCCCTTCCTATACTGAAGACGACAGGGTTCAAGGAGGAAGGGCTCCAGTTTTGTTTTCTCAGCACCTAGCTAGGAGGCCTTCCTGCAGCGGCTCTCCCCTCTGAGCCCTACACAGGACGGGCACTCTGGCCTGGGAGCCCCAAGGGGAGGCGGAGCTAAGTGCTTTCCCTCCAGGACCCCGCTCTCCCTGGGAGTCCAGCACAGAGGGCGCTCTCCCTGGGAACCTGGAAATCCACCTCCTGAAGCGACTGCACAGCAGCTGGGCCAGGCAAATCATGGAAAGGTCGACCTACCCATGAGGATATGTACACTGGCGGAGGCTACACAGCTGCCATAGTGGAAGCCGTCCTAGATGGAGGAGCAGGAGTAGCAGGGATCAGAGTCGGCCATGTCGGCAATGGAAGGCCAGCTCCCCGCCGAATGACGAGAGCACACAGACCTCAACGGTCCTCCGTCACTTCCTGAGGAGCAGTCAGCCCCGACTGAGGATCAAACCCGAAACCTAAGTAGGTACCCTGATAGAATGGAACCCAAACCTTTGGTGTAGCAAAGGATCTCCGGCCCACAGCAGGGGCCAAGGCACGCCAAAGGGGTTTTGTTGAGGGGCCCTGACAGGCAGCCCACAGCGCAGTGGGTTAGAACCTCCTCCTGATACAGCAAGGTTGCGGGTTGGATCCCTGGTCAGAGCACAGACAAGAAGCAACCAAAGAGTGAATAATAAGTGAAACAACACACTGGTGTTTCTCTCACTCCTCTCCTCTCTCTAAAATAATCAATCAATAAAAATTAAAATAAAAAATAAACCCTCTGGCTTGCAGAGTTGCTAAAACAGTTAAAAAGCGAAGTCCCATCCCTTCCCGTTCATTCAACAAATACTTCATATACTCCTTCAATAATCACACTGGGGATGGGTGTTTATTTGTATGTTTTGGATAATCCTCACCTGAGGACATTTTTGCATTGAGTTGTTTTTTTTTTAGAGAGAGTGGAAGGGAGGGAGAAAGACAGAAACTAATGTGAGAGACATCAATTGGTTGCCTCTTGCTGAATCCCCAACCAGGGCCCTGTATTGAGCCTGCAACCCAGGTACATGCCCTTGATCGGAATCCCACCCAGTACCCTTCAGTCCGCCTGCAGAAGCACTATCCACTGAACCAAACCAGCATTTTTTTTTCTTTTTAACTCCTCCTCTAAGGATATGTTTTTTTCATTGATTTTAGAGAGAGAGGAAGGGAGAGGGAAAGAGAAAGAGAAACATCAATTAGTTGCCTAAGCAATCTGACAGGGATGGAACCCACAACCTGTGTATGTTCCCTCACCTGGAATCAAACCCATGACCCTTTGGTATGTGAGAGGACACTCTAACTACTGATCCACACCGACCAGAGCCTGATGGTACACTTAAAAAATTTTTTTCAGATCTGCCCTAGCCAGGTTGCTCAATTGGTTGGAGTCTCAATCTGTGCACCAAAGGATTTCCTGTTGGATTCTAGGTTAGGGCACATACTTAGGTTTAGGTTAGATCCCGGTGGGTCAGCAGGTGCAGAGGCAGACTACCGGTATTTCTCTGTCACATGGATGTTTCTCTTTCTAAAAATCAATTTTAAAAACTTCCTCAGGTGAGAATTAAAAATATATATATTAAAAATTTTTCAGATCTAAAATTTTATTTGGTTCTTTTTTAAATTTTATTTTTCATTTACAGTTCTCATTCAACATCCTGTCCTATATAATAAAACCCTAATATACAAATCGACCAAACAGTGGAATGACTGGTCACTATGAACTGACCACCAGGGGGCAGACGCTCAATGCAGGAGCTGCTCCCTGGTGGTCAGTGCGCTCCCACAGGGGGAGCGCCGCTCAGCCAGAAGCCGGGCTCACAGCTGATGAGTGCAGCGGCAGTGGCAGGAGCCTCTGTGGCAGCACTAAGGAGCAGCGAGATGAGTGGTAGGGAGCAGCAAGCAGGCAGGCGGTAAGGAGCAAGGGGTCCCGAACTGCGAGAGGGCACAGGCCAGGCTGAGGGACCCTCCCACCCCCAGTGCATATTTTAATACAGAAGTATACTTTTAACATATTATATTTAAATATAATATAGTCCGTATTTTACAATTTCTATCTCTGAGAATTTTCATGTCTACTTCACTTTGTTGCCAATACCTCCTCTATCATCTTTCATCTTATAGTTTAATCTTTGTTGTGTATTTTTATATTTTCTACATGTAATAGACTTAATTTTAAAATATTTTTAGTTGGCATAACCTGTCAATACAAATCTTTTTCTCACAATATTATTTTGTTATCCCGCTGATAATAGTCTATAGTCTTCAGATGTTCTTGTCTGCTTTTGTTACTGCTTGCTGTTAAATATATTTCTTTAACTCTCAATACTCTTGTGGTCACTAATTCTAAGTGTGTGGCTGATTCATACACTAAAGAATGTCAAAAGACAATATTTGAAGATAAACATTACCTTAAGAACATTTGCTCTCCATTTTCAAAAATAATATAAATTAGGAAACTTAAAGGCTGCCATCTTCTTTTCAAAAGTCTTCTTTAAATTTATTTTTCTAAACAATAAGGTGTTTGTCTTCTTTTACACCTATTATATACATATATAAAAAATAAAAAGTTTTTGAAAATTTTTCTACTCACCGTTGCAAGGCCACAATCACATTGTTCACCTTTTTCCAATATTCCATTGCCACAAATATACTTTTTTCTTTGGTAAGCTGGCTTAATAGGAAGGCTGTTACGAAGACATTCAAGACTAGAATTTGAAGCAAAATATTTAAACTCATCCAAGCTACAGGTACTAAAATCCTTTACACCCCGAGAGTGCCTAAAATATTAAAAAAAACATGGGTATGATAAAAAATATTGCTACATATTTCTACAGTTCTCCTAATGTAAGGCAATTTAAGAGAGATTTAAAGAGCATTATTTTTCATAGAAAACAAAATGCACATTTTCAAAAATATTAATTGCATTGCTAATATGTTTAACACACTTTTTCAATGTCACCAAGAAAATTATTGTAATGTAAAAACAGGAACTGTTTTATACTTACTTACTTTCCCAGTGCCAAACAACTGAATTTAAAATTTTTGACTTCAGTATTTAATATACTTTAATCTATTTAATATTATTTTTATACTTTTTCCTATAAATGCCAATATGAATCACTTCATAGTATATTTATTAATAGTATTTACTACTCTTTATTAATATTAACTTTAATAGTATATTTTAGAGCTTTTTTTCTCTCCATAAGTGAACACTTTTCAAATAAAAATTAGTTGTTTGAGCTATTATGGGAGGAGCAGTAGGAGTACCTGTCCTGACAGAATAAAAGCTGTTAGCACAAGCAATCAATGTGTTTCTCTCTTTCTCTCCCCTTCCTCTCTCCCTTCCAAAACATTTGAAAGAATATGATTTAAGAGACTAAAGACTGTGCCCTAAACCAGGGATTGAGAAACTTTTTCTGTAAGGAGCCGATAGTAAATAGTATCAGCTTATATGCTGTATACTCTCTTGGAACTAAGAAATTTTCCACTATAGTCCAAAAGAAGTCATACATAATATGCAAACCAATAAGCCTGGATGTAATAAGATTTTGAAAGGAGTTTTTAGGGGTAAAATAGGCAGGTTTAGGACGATTTAGGAATTAGGGGGCCCATGAGGGAGACCCGTGGGGCTGCAAAGCTGGGAGCTGCCAGAAGGCATAAATTTACAGAATAAGGGAGCTGGGAGCTGCCAAAAGGTATACATTTACAGAATAAAGGGAGAGGAAGACACACATTTACAGAATAAAGGAGAGGAATCCACTCATTCACAGAATAAAGAAGACAGTATTAGGGAATAGAAAAATAAAAGGGAAAAAAAGAGAGAACACCACTTGGGGTGTGAGCTCTGAAACCGCTATAGTGACCAATCAGAGGGGATATCAGGAAACAAAGAACTGCAGCCTTTATAAGCCTTAAGAAAGAGGGACTTGGTGGATCTCTCTCCCCCTCTGTGCTTGTTTCTCAATACATTTCCACCTTTTTCCGTGGCTTCATTCTTCGAATCTACCTGGACAATAACATGGAATATCATCTTTGCATCCTGCCCAGAGGAAAACAACACATTCCAGTTTACTTCCTGTGTTTCAGTTTTATTTACAAATCAGGTAGCCCGCCAAATTTGGCCCATGAATTATTGTTGGCTGATCTCTGCCCTATACTAAAATCTGCTCAGTATCAGTTCTAACAAGCCTAATTCAAGCTCCGACAGGATCTCCAGAGGAGACCAAGTTGGAAATACCTTGAGCTTCCATATATCCATACAAGAGGCTCAGTGCACAGTGCACTAGTGGGGTCCCTCAGCCTGGCCTGTGCCCTCTTGCAATCTGGGACCCATTGGGGGATGTCAGACTGCTGGTTTCAGCGCGATCCCCAAGCTACAGCCCCAAGGGATGTAGCAGTGTGAGAAGAGGCAGGCAGCCGGAGAGGAGCCCGAGCTGGGGCCAGGTGCCATGCCGCTCCCGCTCATCCCAGCCCCGCAGTGCCTGCTGCTGCCACTTGGTAGTGCTGCCACAGAGGCAGGAGAGGCTCCTGCCACAGCAGATGTGCTCTCCAGCCATGAGCCCAGCTTCTGGCTGAGCAGCGCTCCTGCTGTGGGAGCGCACTGACCACCAGGGGGCAGCTCCTACATTGATGTCTGCCCCCTGGTGGTCAATGCACATCATAGCGACCGGTCTACTGGTCGAGCGGTTGACCAGTCCTAACGGTTGCTTAGGCTTTTATATATATAGACTAGCGGACCGGTGCACACATAAAAGCAAGCAAATAAAGTTCAAAATGATTGCCCAATAGTTGAATTGTCTAGTAGAAAAAGAATCAATGTTTTTCAGAAGGAGGTAGGAGAGGCCAAGCTTTCTATTATAAAACAACCATATCTAATATGCTAATAATAATTAATTAATAAATAATAGACATCAAATAAATAAGGAAATGTGATCCATACCCAATAAAAAATGCAATCAATAGAAATCAACACTGAGATTGCCCTAGTGTTAAAGTTGGCATACAAATACTTAAAAGGAACTGATATTATATATTTTAAAATTTTAACAAAAAATGTTTAGCTAATTCAGAGAGATTACAGTCTTATACAGTGAACATGCAAGGGATAGTACAAATTCAATTTACATTAAATTGTAGAGCAAGGTAAACTAACTATAGTGGTAGAAATCAGATTAGCTGTTGCCTGGGGCCAGTGTGGAAGGTAGAAGGACTGCTGAAGGTCACAAAAGAACTTCCTATAGAGGGAGAAAGGATGCATAGCCTGACTAACACTGTGGTTCAAAAAAATAAAAGCCTAATATGTTAAGTGTCTGGTCGACCAGTCAGCCATTCAACCAATCAAAGCGTAATATGCTAATGATATGCTAAAGACACTCAACCACTTGCTATGACATGCAATGGCCACTAGGGGGCAAACAGTCGACCAATGGACGAGTAGCTATGACATGCACTGACCTTCAGGGGGCAAACACTCCAACCAGTAGGTTAGCTTGCTGCTGGGGTCTGGCCAATTGGGACTGAGCGAGATGGGCTAGACACGCCCTGGAGCCCTCCCACAGGGCCTCCCTGGCTGGCCAACCTCCTGTGTCCCTCCCCAGCCCCAATCATGCACCAGTGGGGTCCCTCAGCCTGGCCTGTGCCCTCTCACAATCTGGGACCCCTCAGGGGATGTCAGAGAGCCGGTTTTGGCCCCATCCCACAGGCCAGGCTGAGGGACCCTACGGTACATAAATTTGTGCACCGGGCCTCTAGTTTATATATATTTCTCAAAAATCATAAACTTGTACAGTCAAAGCATGTCAATTTTATTATAAACAAATCATACATCAATAAAGTTGATTGCTTATGAAGTACATAAATAAAACACTCAAAAATATGGTGAAACTATTCTTCTGAGAAATTATCACAAGGAAGACAAAATAAATTTATCTACTTTTTGTTTTTATAAAAACTTAGGATATCATCTATATCAAAGGATGAAATCTATAATAATAAAAGTGCAATATGCTAATTAGACCAGACAGCTGAAAGATCTTCTAGACGTCCTTCCGGACGAAGCTACAGTGGCGGGGGCCAAGGCAGAGGCGGTTAGGGGCAATCAGGCAGGCAGGCGAGCAGTTAGAGGTGATCAGGCAGGCAGGCGAGTGGTTAGGGGCAATCAGGCAGGCAGAGTGGTTGGGGCGATCAGGCAGGCAGGCAAGTGGTTAGGGGCGATCAGGCAGGCAGACAGAGGTGGTTAGGGGTGATAGGGCAGGCAGGCAGGCAAGCGGTTTGGAGCCAGTGGTCCCGGATTGTGAGAAGGTGCAGGCTGGGCTGAGGGACATTCCCCCATGCATGAATTTCGTGCACCGGGCCTCTAGTTAAATCAGGGGTCCTCAAACTTTTTAAACAGGGGGCCAGTTCAGTGTCCCTCAGACCATTGGAGGGCCGGACTATAGTTTTAAAAAAAAAACTATGAACAAATTCCTATGCACACTGCACATATCTTATTTTGAAGTAAAAAAACAAAACGGGAACAAATACAATATTTGTATTTGCATGTGGCCCACGGGCCGTAGTTTGAGGACCCCTGAGTTAAATAATAAGCAAGTATCCTTAGCTAATTAGGTCAGTATTTGCATCATTTACTGAGCATTTTTATAGGCAACTGTTATTTAGTAAAAAGTAGAACAAGTGCTTACTAGGAGCAAAAAATGAATATCAGGAAACACACATGTGAAATAAGTCAGATAGTTATTAAAATGATGAAGAACAAAAATAAAACAACATATTATACAAGGGTATAAAAGACACTATTTTAGAAGATAGGACATTTAATTTAAAAAAAGAACTATGGCACTCTAGTTGGTTTTCCTCAATGGATAGGGCATTGGCCTGTGGACTGAAGGGTCCCAGGTTTGATTCCAGTCAAGGGCACACGCCTGGGTTGCAGGCTTGATCTCCAGTAGTGGGTGTGCAGGAGGCAGCCAATCAATGATTCTCTCTCATCATTGATGTTTCTATCTCTCTCCCTCTCCCTTCCTCTCTAAAATCAATAAAAATAAATTTAAAAAAAGAAACAAAATAAGTAAAAATATATTTAAAGAATATATTTATGCTTTTCCCTTATGATTGGAAACAAGGCAAGAATATCCACTCTCACCATATCAATTCACATTGGGCTGAAGTTAATTCAAGTGTAATTAAGGAAGGAAAAAAGAATTACACACAAAAAGGTGGAAAGAAAAAAATTAACTGTTCTTATTGATGAATGACAAGATCTTGCTTAGAGAAAATATTACAGAATCAACAAATAAAATCTCCTGAAACTTCTGAAGTATTTAACAATTTTGCAGCACCCAAAGTCAATGTACTAAAATCAATTATATTTCTATGTACTAGAAAAGAGCAATTTGAAGATGATAAGTAAACAATTTCATTCATGATAACAAAAAAAGAATACTTAAAGATAAATGCTTAATGATAAATTTAAATTATGAAATACAATTCCATTGCTGGAAAAAATTAAAGACCTACATAAATAAAGGCATATACCATATTCAAATATCAAAATACTCCATATTATTAAGATGGCAATTCTCCCAAAATTGAACTATGCAATTAAATAATGCAATACTTTTTAAAAGCTCAACAGGATATTTTGTAAAAATTTAAAAGCTGATAAAATATATATTAAAATGCAAAGGGCCTAGATTAGCCAAAAAAGAACTTTAGAGAAGATGAAAAAACTTGGATATTTGCATTACCTGATTTCAAAATTCAATATAAAGGTACAGCAATAAAGGTAATATGCTTCTGCATAAGTGTAGACATACAGATTAGTGATATAAAATAGAGATTCCTATTAAAAATCCACACATATATGGCCACTTGATTTTTGAAAAAGTGGCCAAGGCAATTAAGTGAGGAAAACACGTGGTCTTGGAATAATTGAAAATCCATATGGAAAAAATAAAAATCAACTAAAACACATATACAGTAATTTAACTAAAAATGTATCATAAAACTGATAAAGTGTACTACATCAAAATTAAAAACATGTTCTTAAAAAAATGCATTATAAAGAGGAAATTATGTATCTGATACCCAAAATATATGAACAATTCTTACAACTCAATAAAAGCACAAAAATATATTTTGTTTTTAAAAATTGAAAAAAAAAATATTTGAATAAACTCTTTATCAAAGAAGATATACAACACTATTAAACATGAAAATATGTTCACATTATTAGCTCCTTGGAAAAAGCAGATTAAAACCCATATGAGATAATATTACCTACCTACTAAAATGATTCAAATTAAACATACTGATCATATCAAGTCTTGGTGATAATGTAAAACAGTCAGAACTGGCTACACAATTTGTGGAAACTAATGTAAAATGGAAATGCAGCCCCCCTTGTTTATAAAGCAAGAGAAAAGTATTATTAGTAATATTAAAATTAAAAGCTTTTTCTCCTTGCTTCAAAGTCTCTCTTTCTCAATGGGTCATGGTGTTATTTATTTACAATTTAATGTCTTTCAAGATAAATAAAATGTAATTAACATGAATTATACATCTTCATATTGTACAATGCCAGTTTAAATGCAAATATCAAAGCATTTAACTTTATGCAGAATCACTGAGATCACACAATTCATCTGACCATATATATATATATATATATATATATATATATATATATATATATAGACACACACACATACACTGAGTGGCCAGATTTTTATGACCGGCCAGGTTATTATGACCACCCCATCAGTACTTCATTGACACTTCCAAAAATACTGACTATTGAAAACTTCCTAAGCAAATACTCTCAAGGTTTTATTATTATTATTATTTGCATAACTAATTCACTTTATTGTACTGATAGGGTGGCCATAATAATCTGGCCACTCAGTATATATATACAAATCAGACTCTGGAAGGTAGGAAGAAGAGAGTTTACCCAGGTATGGAGGGCTTGGGAAGTGTTGAACCATTTTGGTGTGTTTCCAACGGTACTTAAAAAGAATATGTATGTAGTTGTTGGATACAGTGTTCTGTAATTGTCAATTACTTTAGTTTGGTGAATGGAAATGTAAAAGCTCCTAACCAAACAATTTCTTTACAGGAATATGTGTATTTAATAAAGAAAATTATCTTACATTGCTTCTGGTGACATTGTGCAAACATCTCCTGAACAATAGCAGGTATCAGTATTGTCAAAACTCAATCCCATATGAAGGCTGAGCAACTGCACGATACTGACAGCATATGACTCCAAAGATGAACCCTCTACTTGCTAAATTTAAGGAAAAGAAAATTATTCAGCTAAGAACCCTATTGTTATTTAAAAAAACACACAATACTTACCATAATAAAAAATTAGTAAATGAAATTCATTTTTTTAAGGTATCAATGCATCCAAGATACCTATGTAGATGAAATTAGTTATATAAGCATTTGGATGATAAATTTGTTAAACATGCATAAATAAGCACAAAAGTTTAATTTCAAAATACTATTACTTAAGGACAAGAGCAGCTATCTTGGAGTCTTAAACACCACATTGTATATTTCATCTTTGAATTATTTTTTTAAAAATTCCTCTAATATTTTAATAATCAATTCTACATTTTTCTCTGTAGAAAGTAACCTCTGAAATAGGTCTCAATGATTTCTGCCTTCTGCTATTCATGTCCTGAATATAAGCTGGACTTATTGACCTACTTCTAGTTAACTGAATATAGCAGAAGTGATGGGTCATCATTTCCAAGATAGGTTAGAAAAAGACTGACTTCTTGGATTCTGTCTCATTTTCCTCACTTGGGGGAAAACCAGCCAGCTATTCTGCGAAGAAGTCAGCCTTATAAGAGGTCCACATAAGTTAACTTGGAAAAGATTTTCTGGGGTCTTCCAATAGCCACGTGACTGAGCTTGGAAACAAATTCTCTCTGTGCTGAAGCCTGAGATTACCACAGGTCTAACTGACACCTTGATTTTGCTCACTAAGCTGTTCCCAAAATCCTACCCCACCGAACTACATTTTTATCTGCTACGTTTTGGTATAATCAGTTATATAGCAATCAATAGGTAGGTATTGTTGCTCTCCTTTGTATTATTTCCAGTTTCTGCAGACAGATGTTTATAGCAGCTTTATTCATAATTGCCAAAACTTGCAAGCAACCATGGTATCCTTGAGTAGGTAAACAGATACATAAGCTATGGCACATTTCAAACAATGGAATATTATTCAGCACTAAAAAGAAATGAGTTATCAAGTAATGAAAAGAAATGGAGGAACCTCAAATGCATATTACTAAGTGAAAGAACCCAATCTGAAAAGGCTACATACTGTATAACTCCAACTATATGTCATTCTGAGAAAAACAAAATTATGGAGACAATGACAAGATTTGTGGTTGCTTGTGCTAGTCAAGCTCTGGCACAGATACCAATGTCCCTTTTGCTATCTGTGCACCTACAAGCCCCTTGATTTAAATAATATTTATAAGTTGGGGTCCCAAGTTCCAGGCCCAGTAATTCCTATAACACAACAGGGCTTCAGCATCATTATAATACCACAGAGCCACAAAAATAAGACCTATATTAACACAAGAGGGTATCACCTTGAGGGTATCCACATCTCAAACAACATGACCTTGGCTCAGGATCTAACTGCTAGAAATGATATTGTGCAGAGAAAAACCCTAAAGACCTCACCAAAAACTACTAGATTTAATAAATAAATTTGACAAAGTAGCAGCATAGAAAATTAACATCCAGAAATCAATGGCATTTTTGTACACTAAGAATGAGCTCTCAGCAAGAGAAATAAAAGAAAACATGTACCATTGCGACAAAAAAAATAAATAACCTGGGAATTAACCAAGTGGGTTAAAGACCTGACTCAGCAAACTATGGGTCATTGAAAAAAGAAATAGAGGAAGATACAAACAAGAGCAAGCATATACTGTGTTCATAGATAGGAAGAATTAACATCATTAAAATGTTCATACTAACCAAAACAATCTATAGATTCAATGCAAACCCTATTAAAATACCAATGCAGGCATGCAGACCAATGGAACAGAACAGATACCCCAGAAATCAACCTACACCTTTATGGTCAATTAATATTTGACAAAGAAGGCAAGTGCATGCAATAGAGTAAAGAAAATCTCTTCAATAAATGGTGCTGGGTAAATTGGACAGGTACATGCAAAAAAATGAAACTAGACCAACTTATAACATACACAAGAATAAGCTCAAAATGGATAACAGACTAAAATATAAGTTGTGAAACCATAAAAATCCTAGAAGAAACCACAGGTAGCAAAATCTCAGACATCTCTCATAGCAATATGTTTACCAATACATCTCATAGAGTAAAAGAAACAAAGGAGAAAATAAACAAATGGGACTACATCAAAATTAAAAGTTTCTGCACAGCAAAAGAAACCATCTTCAAAATGAAAAGGGAACGCACTGAATATGAAACATTTGCCAGTGATACATCTGATAAGGAGTTAATTTTCAAAATATATAAAGAACTCATTTAACTCAACAAAAGCAAGACAAACAATCCAATTTAAAAAAATGGGCAAAGGACCTGATTGGATATTTCTCTAAAGAGGATATACAGATGGCCAACAGACATATGAAAAAATGCTAAAAGTCACTAATCATCAGAGAGATGCAAATTAAAACTACATTGAGTATCACCTCACACCTGCCAGAATGGCTACCATCAATAAATAAACAAATAACAAACAAATAACATGTACTGGTGAGGATGTGGAAAAAAAGGAACCCTCGTGCACTGCTGGTGGGAATACAGACTGGTACAGTCATGGTGGAAAACTGTATGGAGTTTCCTCAAAAAATTAAAAATGGAACTGCCATTTGACCCAGTGATCCCACTTTTAGACTATATCCTAAGAATCCCAAAACACTAATCAGAAAGAATATATGCACCCTTATGCTCACAGCAGCATTATTTACAATAGTAAGAAGGGAAACAACCCAAATGCCCATAAGTAGATGAATGACTAAAAAAATCTGTGGTACATTTACACAATGGAATACTATGCACCTATAAAAAGGAAGGATCTCTTAACCTTTTTGACAGCATGGGTGGACCTGGAGATTTTTTTTTAATGTTTTCTTTCTTTTTTTATTTTTCTATTGTTGAAAGTATTAGATATATCTCCCTTTTCCCAGACTGACCTCCCCTGCCCCACCCTCCCCCCAGGACAAGCCCCCACCACCCCAGTCTCTGTGTCCATCGGTCATGCTAATATGCATGCATACAAGTCCTTTGGTTGATCTCTTACCCCCCTTTCCTTGCTTTCTCTCTGAGATTGGACGGTCTGTTCAGTGTTTCAGACCAGGAGATTTTTGTGCTAAACAAAATAAGCCACTCAGAGAAAGACAAATATCACATGTTCTTACTTATATGTGGAATCTAATGAACAAAATAAACTGATGAACAAAAATAGATCCAGAGTCATGAAAGCATGGAAAACACTGACAGATATCAGAGGGATTGGGGGAGAGAGAGTGGGAAGCGATTAACCAGAGAACTTATATACATGTATGCATAGCCCATGGACACAGGTAATAGTGTGATGAAGGCCTGGGTTGCAGCAGGAGCCAGGTAGAAGGGGACAAATGGGGCAAATTGGGGGACATCTATAATATTCTCAACAATAAAAATAAATTAATTAAATAAAATGGGCAATTAAAACCACAGAAGGCAAAAACAGAGAGGGGAAATTTAAAAAAAACAACTATGAACAAGAACAATAAATAGAAACAATTCAATATCTATTTATTAAAAATTATCAACACAGTATGTAGAGAGGGAAAGTACCACAACAAGAAAAAGGCTCTATGGGACAAGTCTACAGCTAACATCATACTCAACGTGAAAAGCTAAAAGTTTTTCTTCTAAGATCAGGAAAAAGACAAGAATGTGCTCTCTCACCACTTTTGTTCAATATAATATTGGAAGAACTAATTAGAGCAATTAAGCAAAGGGGGAAAGGCATCCAAATTGGTAAAGAAGAAGTAAAGATGTCACTATTTGCATATGACATGCTATTATATATAGAAAACCCTAAAACTCATAAAACAAACAAACAAAAATGTTAGGAGTAAAAAATGAATTCTGTAAAGTAGCTGGATACAAAATTAATACACAAAAATCTGTTGCATTTAGGTACACTAATAAACTATCAGAGTAATTTAAAAAAACAAGCTCATTTACAATTGTAAGATAACTGAAAATATTAGGAATAAATTTAACCGAGCTGGTGAAAGATCTCTACTCTGAAAACTATACAATATTGAAAGAAACTGAAAAGATATCCCATTAATATTGTTAAAATGTCCATACCCAAACTATAGTATAGATTCAATGCAATCCCTACTAAAAATTCCAATGCCATTTTTCATAGAAATTGAAAAAACAATGCTAAAATTTGTATAGAACTACAACAGACCCCAAAAACAATCCTGAGAAAGAACAAAGCTAGAGGCATCACACTTCCGGTTTTGAAACTATATTACAAAGCTAGAGTAATCCAAAACTATGGTATAGCCCTGGCTGGTGTGGCTCAGTTGGTTGAGTGTCATCCTGTGCACCAAAATGTCCTTGGATCAGTTCCTGGTCATGGCACATGCCTAGGTTGCGGGCTCAGTCCCTGGAAGTGGTAGGTGCAAGAGGCAAAGCAATCAATGATTCCCTCTCATATGTCTCTCTCTTTTTCTCTCTCCCCATCCTCTTTCTCTAAAATCAATAAAAACATTTTTTAAAGTATGGTATAGGTAAGGAATAGGGCCCCAAAATAAACCCCTGAAGATATGATCAACTAATATTTGACAAGGGAGTCAAGAATACTCAACTGAAAAAAGATAGCCTCTTCAATAAATGGTGCTGAAAAAACTGAATATTTACATGCAAAAAATTAAACGGGACCCTTTATCTTAGACTGCTCACAAAAATTTACAAATGAATTGAAAATTAAAATGTAAGAAGTGACCCCAGCCAATGTAGTTCAGTGGTTGAGCATTGACCCAGAAACCAAGGGGTCACCAGTTCAATTTCTGGTCAGAGCACATGCCCAGATTGCAGGTTCAATCCCCACTAGGGGGCATGCAGGATGTAGCCAATCAATGATGTTTCCCTCCCATTGATGTTTCTATCTCTCTATTCCTATCCCTTCCTCTCTCTTGATGTGGGGTTAGGGCGGTGGTTGGCAAACTGCGGCTCGCGAGCCACATGCAGCTCTTTGGCCCCTTGAGTGTGGCTCTTCCACAAAATACCAACTTCTGCGCATGTGCCACGAAGTTTCAATTGCACTGTACATGCGCGCCCTCAGGTGGTTTTTGTGGAAGAGCCACACTCAAGGGGCCGAAGAGCCGCATGTGGCTCGCGAGCCGCAGTTTGCCGACCACTGGGGAATGAGAAGAGTTAAACCAAAAAAACTTATATACTTGTACACAAAGACCTTGGGGGGGAGGTAGGGGCTGGGAAGATTGGGGTAAAGAGGGGTAAATGTGAGACATCTGTAATACTATCAACAATAAAAATTATACATTAAATATACATATAAGAAGTAAAATCATAAAACTTTACAAAGAAATGGTAGTAAAAAATCTCCTTGACATTTGTCTTGCCAATTATTTTATGGATATGATACCAAAACCACAAACAAAAGCAAAAATAAACAAGTGGAACTACATCAATAAAAAGGTTCTACACAACAAAAGAACTGATCAACAAAATGAAAAGGTTACCTACAGAATATGAGACAGTGTGCAAATTATATATTTGATAAGGAGTTAATATCCAAAATATAGGAACTCATATACAATTCACTAGCAAAAAACAAGTAATCTGATTAAGAAATGGTCATAAGACCTGAATAGATATTTCTCCAAAGAAGATTTTAAATGGCCACCAAATACACTGAAAGGTGCTTAACATCAATAAACATCAGGGAAATACAAATCAAAGCCACAAGAAATATCACCACACCTGTTAGAACGGCTATTATCAAAAATACAAGAGATAACAAGTACTGGAAACGATATGAAGAAAACGGAAGCCTGTTTCCTGTTTCAGGAAATATAAATTGGTATAACCAGTATAGAAAACAGCATGGTGGTTACTAAAACTATTAAAAATAGAACTATCATATGGATCAGCAGTTCCACTAGTTGGTATATACAGGGTATCTCCAAAAAAAATGTATACACACTTTAACAGCTGGTAGATCAATTTTGAAAACGAAATGTATTTTAATAAACTCTGCCTTTATAATTATTCAATGTGTGTATACATTTGGGGGGGGGGGTACCCTACATCTGAAGAAAATGAAATCTCTCTCAAAGAGATATCTGTAGGCCATATTCAATGCAAATTATTCACAATAGCCAAGATATGGAAATAACCTAAATGTCCATCAATAGATGAGTGGATAAAGAAATTGTGATATATCTATATCTATAATAATAAAAGTGTAATATGCTAATTAGACCAGACATCCTTCCAGACATCCTTCCTTCCAGATAAAGCCGCAGTGGTCAGGGATCACACAGAGGCAGCAGAGGCCCCTGGCCACAGCAGCGGGCAGGCGGGAACCGGGTCCAAGGCCCTTGCACGAATTTCATGCATTGGGCCTCTAATATATGTATATATGTACGTATGTATGTATGTATGTATACATATACATACACAAACAATATGGATGAATCTTGAAGCAAAGAATGGATTGGTGGTTGTCAAGAGTTGGGACTATGAGGTGGGAATGAGTAAAAGTAGTCTAAGGGTACAAACGTCTAGTTTCTGGGGATGCAAAGTATAGCATAGTAATGAGAATTAACGATACTGTATTATATATTTGAAAATTTCTAAGAGAATAGACTTAAAGATTCTCAGCACACACACATATACACACACAAATAGTAACGATATGAGATGATGGATGTGTTAACCTTAGGTTTTGTGGAAATAATTTCCCATATATACATATATCATATCATCACATTGTGGGCCTTAAACTTACATAATGTTATAACAAGTACATACCAGAAGTGATTTTAAATCTTTTTAATCTGCTTCATTGTAGTTGCTACTAAAAGTTAACCAACTGCACAAATTGCTTAATATGAAAATCACAGTGCACACATCTTTTTCTGAGACATTCTCAAGTTAGTTCCCTTTCCTAGTTTTTAAATAACTTGTGACAAATGGAATATAGCACTTTAGTTAGAGCTTATTCTTACTTTCCCCAGAAAACAGTGGATTATGAATATTTGATAGCTATTTTTTCCTACAAGTCTGTTCCTCCAAAGTATAAAGATTTGAATGCAGTAATAAAATAGCATAAAATAGAAAAAAATGTCACTTAATAAAAAAGCTAATGAATGTATACAAATTCTTAATTTTGAGAGAAAATTTGATATGTTCAATAATTAACATTATTGAATATATAATATATATTGATGCAAGCATACCACTGTTTAAAACAACTTTGACTTATATTATGATCAGTTCAACTTGTTCTATTTTTAAAAGCAATTATATAGTTTAATTTTTATGTTCCAAAATCTATACTAATAATAGACAAATATGTGTAAATTGACTGTCCCTCCACAATGCCCACAGCCAATCAGGAGTGGTATGCAAATTAACCGGACAAAGACGACAGGCCTGTGGTCAGCGCACACTTGTGCAGATGCCGAGCAGCCAGGGGCAGGGCAGGACGCTTGTGTCATCACCATGGCAACAACGCAGGCGTTCCATCCCGCCCCCCGCCACTTTGGGCCTTTGGGCAGCGTGGGAGGGCAGAAAGGCGTCTCCGGGCCAGAGCGAAGGCGGTGCTGGCAGCCAGGGGAAGGAAGGCCTATTCTTGCACAAATCTTCATGCATCAGGCCTCTAGTTAGTAAAATAAAATACTATTAAAGAATGAGTATACTATGTAATATATTTATTCATTCTTTAAAATATTTAGGAAATTTTTATACATGAAAATAATGAGAACAAACTGGATAATAATTACATACCAGAGCAACTCCTGCGTCCTCGTTCTTATAACATATTTTTCCAGGAAATACGGCTCCTTTAAAATGAACTTGTTTCTTGAAGCTAAAAATAAGAATTTCCTCACAATTGCATTTAAGAGTGGTATTATTGGTGATAAATTTTCATAACAACAAACATTAGTGAACAATTACTATGTCCTAAGGACCATGCTACTCTGAATTAACCTAATTTAAACACATATTTTCTCATACCTACAACATTAAGAATATGTCAGCATATATATGCAAATTTTGTGTTTGATAAACACTCAGAAGTATAATAAGGATAAAGCCTAACAATTATGCCAAATGCATTTGCACTAATGGTTTATAGTTATTATTCTGGTTCCCTCAACATTTACAGCCCTGAAAATTCAATTTTCTGTGACCTACTTATTCACTCATTTACAAAAATTAATAAATTTTCCTGCACATAAAATTCTAGATAGGAAAACAATTCAATATATTTATGTTATTAGAAAATAAAAACATAAAAATTAATCAGAAGAGAGACACACTATAGAGATTATATAACAGGTAGTAAAAGTTTATAAGCCAAGCAACATTAAAGAAAGTGTTATCACTTATAATTAATCTCCTTTAGTTATTTCAATGCTTTTATGTAACTTCACTTTTATTAGGTTATTTTATGTCAGTTAGAAATTTTTAAGTCTCGCTTCACATTAGCTCATTGAGGACAAGGACTTTAACTTACAGTTTTCCCCCATCCCAATCATGTTGACCAAATTTATAGAATATAGTACATATTAAATAGATGATTATTTTTCATAATTAACATATGAAATCATTTTGCATTTTTTTCCATAACACTGTACAAATATGGAATACTATACTCACGCAAGTAAGTATGCAGGCTGGAAGACATGTTCAGATTTCCACTGTAAAAATCTGTATAATATTGAATAAGGATTTCCAAAAGTAGAAATTTTGTTTTTATTTGACCATATTTCTATGGAAGATATTACAACAGTCAGTTTTAACTGACTAAACATCTAAAAAGAGAAGACAAATAAACATTTTTAAATAAATTTAAACATTACATTAAACTTCTATAAAAACATATTTAAGACATTTAATTTGGTATGTTGATCGTGGAAAACTGTTCAACAGCACAACCAAATATTAAACAAATCAATACATATTACAGATAATTTTACAAAATATATAAACAAAAGAGTTTTTAAAAACTTACAGTGTTAACAAGTCCAAATATCTGCATAACCTTCTGTGTTACAGCCTTTATATCAGAGCCCATGTAATCAAACTGTAAAAGATAAATTACTTTTAAAAACCAGTGAGTGCCATTAGTATATCACATACCCTTTATATATACAATGTACTATATTCTAAATGAGTGATAGGACTACATTCCAATTGTAATCCAAGAAATAATGATGTATAAGTAATGATTTATAAAAGTGATATAATTTATGCAATAAATAAAAACACAATAACGTGATTTTGTTTTTCTGTCTTTTGTGATACTGCTATTTTTTGAAAACTCTAATGATAGTTTTAAAGTTATAAATTTTTCATTAAATTTACTGGGATAATCTTATTTAATATAGGTTTCAGTTCTATTAAGTGCCTGCCAGGCTAGTTCAGTCAATAGAGCATGAGACTCTTAATAACATGACTTTAAGCAATGTTTAAAGCAATTAATTTGTGCCCTTTATTATTTATGAAACTGAATCATAACTTTTTTATTTCTTTATTTTTTTAATATATGTTATTGATTTTTTACAGAGAGGAAGGGAGAGGGATAAAGAGTTAGAAACATCGATGAGAGAGAAACATCTATCAGCTGCCCCCTGCACAACTCCCCACCGGGGTTGTGTCCGCAACCAAGGTACATGCCCTTGACCGGAATCAAACCTGGGACCCTTGAGTCCGCAGGCCGACACTCCATCCACTGAGCCAAACCGGCTAGGGCAATCATAACTTTTTTAAATGTGGTATTTCATAAATGAATAGGACTGCATCGAACTAAAAATCTTCTGCACAGCAAAAGAAACTGCCAACAAAAAGGCAAACTACTAATTGGGAGAAGATATTTGCAAACAACAGTTCTGACAAGGGGTGAATATCCAAAATATGTAAAGAACTCATATAACTTAACACCAAACAAATAATCCAATTAAAAAATAGGCAGAGGACCTGAACAGACACTTCTCCCAAGAAGGCATACAAATGGCCAAGAGATATATGAAAAGATGTTCAATTTCACTAGCTATTAGGGAAATGCAGATCAAAACTACAATGAGATACCACGTCACACCTCTTGGAATGCCTGTTAGCAATAAGACAAGTAACAGTGTTAGAGAGGTTGTGGGGACAAAGGAATCCTTATTCACTACTGGTGGGAATGTAAACTGGTACAGCCTCCATGGAAAATATGTGGGATATAAAACTGAAAACAACAAATGAACCAACAAGAACAACAAACAAACAAAAAAGCATAGACACAGACAACAGTATGGTGGTTACTAGAGGGAAAGAAGTGGGAAGGGTATTAAGGGTAAAGGGAGTCAAATATACAGAGACAGAAGATAATTCAACTTTGGGTGAGGTGCACACTATGCAATATATAGATTGAGGATCATAGAAATGTACACTTGAACCCTATATAATCTTATTAACCTTGATAAATTTATAAAAAGAAAAAACAAAAAATAGAGTTACCATATGACCCAGCAACCTGTCTTCTGGGTACCTACCTGAAAATTTTCAAAACATCCTATATGACAAAGAGCTAATATGTAAATGGCCATCATGCCCTCACACCATAATGCCATAATGGCTCAGACACTCAACACTGGGGAGAGAGGAATGGAGACCAGCCAGGCACAAATGAGCTCAACAAGAGAGGAATGGGGACCAGTCAGGCACAAATGAGCTTGCGAGAGAGAAATGGGGACCAGCCAGGCTGCAGCCCAGGAGAGGGACAAGCCGCACGCCCCATGGTCCTGGGTGCCAGTGGCTGCGCCTGTGGCCAAGAAGAGGGATAAGCTGCCCACCCCGCGGTCCTGGGAGCCAGCGTCTGCAGCTGTGGCCCAGGCGAAGCCGCCCACCCATGGTCCCCTGCGGCTGCGGCTGCCGCCAGCCCGGGCGAAGCCGGCTTGAGTCCTGGGCGCCTGCTGCCAGCCAGAGGGAAGGAAGCCCGGCTCCCATGTGCCTGCGACTGGTCGGAGGAGGGAATCCTGGGTTCCAGGTGTGGGCGAGGCAGAGGTGATTAGGGGCAATCAGGCCAGGAAGGGAGCAGTTAAGGGTGATCAGGTCGGTAGGGGAGCAGTTAGGGGACGATCAGGCAGGCAGGCAGAGGTGGTTAGGGGCGATCAGACAGGCAGAGGTGGTTAGGGGCAATCAGGCAGGCAGGCAGGTGAGCAGTTAGGAGCCAGCGGTCCTGGATTGCAAGTGGCAGTCAGACATCCCCCAAGGGGTCCTGGATTAGAGAGGGTACAGTCTTGGCTGAGGGACCCCCCACCATGCACAAATTTCATGCACTGGGCCTCTAGTTTATTCATAAAGATATATGTACCCCTATTTTCATTGCAGAATTATTCATGGTGGCCAAGACATGAAAACAACTGAAGTGTCCTTGATAGATGATTGGTTAAAGATGTGGTACATATATGAAAAGAATACTACTCAGCCATAACAAAAGATAAAATACTGTCATTTGTCTTGCTTTTCATTAATCTTTAACTTTTGTTTTTAATTGCAGTATTTATTCCCTCTACATCTAATGAAATATTTGAGTTGAAATATTTTAACTTAACCCTAGCTTTAAAATTTGTTCCATATTAAACAAATGCTTAATACATAATATTTGTTTTCCTTTATTGCCTTCTTTTTGTTTATTATGCTTAAAATTCTGATTACCAACTTCTAATTGCTTTGTAAATTTACAGGAATATGATTTTAGCATATGTATTGGCTTTGTACTGGGTCAACTTAGCTATAATGAAAAGCTCTCCAACTCTTTAGTGAGCCATCACACTTCAATTTTTGTTACCTCTGCCAACAATTATGTCTACACTTCCCTGCCTCATATTTACTTCTTTGAGAATCAACCAACTTTTTTTTAGGGAAAATATTTTTGTTTTATAACCTATGTCTTAAAATATTAATATCTGAAGGTTTTGTGTATCTAAACCTATTATTTTTTGTTTTGTTTCACTGTGGCTAATTTTTTTATGGATTTTGAGCTAATACATGGCTGTTATTAATCTGTGGGAATCCTACTTAAAGTTGTATTCCACCAGGGAGAAATACCATTTGCTTCCACCAGGTATCCTCATATCTTACCAATCTAGGACAAATGCAGCCTTATAGCTTAGAATCCCCTAACTACCTACGTTGTACGAATTCACAACTTAAACCTATGCAAGATCTGAAGTATAATCGTGAATCCTCATTATGAAAATTTTGTTCTTTTGTTTTTCTGTCATTTCATTCACTAAGAATTGAGAACAGAACAGATGACTTGTTTTCTTCCTTTGCCTGAAAGAGGTGCCATATGTGTTCAGTAGACTACCCTACCAATTAGGCTTAGACAATTAAATATTATTGCATGTGGGTTTGAAGGTTTGGGGATGTTCTAATACAGTGATGGCAAACTTATGACACGCATGTCAGAGGTGACACGTGAACTCATTTTTTTGGTTGATTTTTCTTTGTTAAATGGCATTTAAATATATAAAATAAATATCAAAAATATAAATCTTTGTTTTACTATGGTTGCAAATATAAAAAAATTTCTATATGTGACACGGCACCAGAGTTAAGTTAGGGTTTTTCAAAATGCTGACACGCCAAGCTCAAAAGGTTCGCCATCACTGTTCTAATATATACTTTCATTGAGAATGTAGTCCTTTTAAAAAAAAGAAAAAATAACAAGGTTTAGAAAATGAAAAATGCTTCACTTTACAAATGCAATTAGAGATCATATACACAAAATAAATTAATTAACAAAAATTTGGCTTATTTATAATTTAAAGAATTTATCAATTGTTCTAAAATCAAAATGAACATCAAAAATGGGTTTTAAATTTTTATTATATCATTGAAATCAAGTAAAAGACAAATGTTAAATAATTTTAAAATAATAATATATTAAAAGGACCTACCATATTTTTATCCACAACAATATATAGTTCAAGGTATTGAGGAATTAACTTGAGAAATTCAACTCTCTGAAAAACATACATGAATACTAAGAAATTTCTAAAAATTTACTTTCTACTGAAATTATGTTCAAAGATAAACTGAGAAACATGTCACTACTGATTATATAACAAGGGTATTTTCAAATACAAAATTTAGGTACTATTTGGAAAATTCCAATCCAAACAATGTTTGTGGTTTAAAATAATTTTTAATGAGACCCCAAGCTATACAAGAACCCAGGTATCTTTTGATTTTAGCAATATCTGAAATTAGAAATATTAACTTTATAACATATAGCTTTTCTTTCCTTAGCCTTGTAATAATTTTCACAGTAATCTTCCATGTGGGAAGATTTTCTGCTACCAATTTTAGGAAACTACTTTTGGCAAACAATATAGTTTTAAAAACTGGCCAGGCAGATCACATAATATTTATATCATGTAAATTGCCAGACAATTGAGAAAAAGGGATAATTTACATTCATTGTCCAAATGCCCACATGTAAACATTTTTTGGTTTATTTAACCCTATATTCTAAATCTGTTAACTATGTTTTTGCTAAACTTTCATATAACAAGCATAACAAAGAATTCAATTTTATTCTATGCTTATTTTTTATTGTTGACACTATTACAGATGTTCCCCCCATTCCCTTCCATTTCCCCCCTCCACTCAGTCTCCTCCAGTCCTTCACCACATTATTGTCTCTATCCATGGGCTATGCATATCCTCCTAATAAAACAGTAATATGCAAATTGACCATCACTCCAACACACAAGATGGCCGCTCCATGTGGACACAAGATGGCCACCAAAAGATGGCCAGCAGGGGAGGGCAGTTGTGGGTGATCAGGCCAGCAGAGCAGGGCAGTTGGGAGGGACCAGGCATGCAGGGGATGACAGTGGGGGGACCCAGGCCTACAGGAGAGGACAGTTGGGAGCAACCAGGCCTGCAGAAGGGGACAGTTGAGGGAGACCCAGGCCTACAGGGGAGGGCAGTTGGGGGAACCAGCCTGGCAGGGGAGGGCAGTTAGGGGCGATCAGGCCAGCAGGGGAGGGCAGTTAGGGATAATCGGGACAGCAGGGAGCAGTTTGGCATCAATAAGGCTGGCAGGGGAGTGGTTAGAGGGTGATCAGGCTGGCAGGCAGAAGCGGTTAGGGCAGCCGTGGGCAAACTACGGCCCGCGGGCTGGATCCTTCCCGTTTGAAATGAATAAAACTAAAAAAAAAAGACCGTACCCTTTTATGTAATGATGTTTACTTTGAATTTATATTAGTTCACACAAACCATCCATGCTTTTGTTCCAGCCCTCCAGTCCAGTTTAAGAACCCATTGTGGCCCTCGAGTCAAAAAGTTTTCCCACCCCTGGGTTAGGGGCAATCAGGCAGGCAGGCAGGTGGGCGGTTGGGAGCCAGCAGTCCCCCAATGGGATCGGGCCTAAATGGGCAGTCGGACATCCCTCAAGGGGTCCCAGATTGGAGAGGGTGCAGACTGGGCTGAGGGACACACATACTCTTGTGCATGAATTTTGTGCACCGGGCCTCTAGTATATAATAAAAGCCTAATATGCTAAATGTCCAGTCAGCCATTCAACCAATCAAAGCGTAATATGCTAATGATATGCTAAGGTTGCTCAACTGCTCGCTATGACATGCATTTACCACCAAGGGGCAGATGGTCAACCAGTCGCTATGACATGCACTGACTACCCGGGGACAGATGCTCCAATAGGTAGGTTAGCTTGCTGCTGGGGTCTGGCCAATCAGGACTGAGCAAGACGGGCCAGACATGCCCTGGATCCCTCCCATAGTCCCTCCCCTGTTGGCCAAACTCCCATATCCCTCCCCAGCCCTGATCATGC